ATCCCAGCTACTCTAGAGGCTGAGGCAGGAGGATTCTAAATCCAAGCCCTGCCTTGAGTTAACCTGGGCAGCCTAGCAAGACCTTGTCTCAAAACAAACTCAGGAAAAAAGAAAGGGCTGGGCTGTAGCTTGGTGGTAGAGCACTTGCAGTAAGCTCTGAGTTGACTCTCCAGCACAGGAAAAATAAAACGGATGGGAGCTTCAAAAGAACCATTAAAATATGCCCTTAAAAAAAAACCAACTGCCTATCTGCGTCCACCGCCCACACACTTTGAGAAGTGGCATTGTGCTGAGGCTCCCAGTGTACTTATCTCTGCTGAAGGAAGGGTTCATAACTGGGAGCTCAGAGCTGCAGTTCCAAAGACAGAAAGCTCTGGTGACTTAGCTTGAGACACATGCCACTAGAGATAAAAGTTCAGAAACATGGGTCTGGCCAGGGGTAGGGCCATCCCTCATGGTGATTAGAACACAGAATAGACTGGAAGGAAGAGAGGGGTATAAGGACGAACAGGAACACCACCAGCACGCTTTTGTTACTTATTTTGATAATTTTGTTACATTGTTTAAGAAATGGCTACACTCTGGCAGCACTACTTAGCCTATCAGTTAGGGTGTGATTCCTGTCAATCAAAAGATGACTCCAACTCGGCCAATGTGCTTCTTGCCTTCCCTGAATGGGGCAAACTGATCCTTTCTGTCTCTGCAAAACCAGTTTCTAGGCTGCCACTTGGTCACCTCCCATGGAAGCCAGCAATGGAGGCACCCAGGAGGAGAGCCACGTTTGCTGGCTCAGCTCCGGGCACCAGGCCAAGCACTATCAGGCTGGGTAGCCATCAATCAGCCAAGGGAGCAGGAGGGATGGGCCCAGGCCCTCCCTTCCCTCACAGTCTGTGCAGCTGGATCTGGACAGATCTCAGTCCTGGCCTGGCAACCCATCACAGGGCCCAAGCAGAGGAACACAGGACACCAAATATACCTGTCCTCGTTTCTAAAATACACTGGATATGCCAGACAGAAGGGAATGGTGATTTGCACATTCCCCCTTCCTTAAAAATCAAGTCCAAAATACTGAGAAATCAACTCTCTGATTGCTATCCCCACACCCATAAAAGGCTCGGCTAAGAACATAACTCAGCGGAGAGCATGTTTGATAGAAAAGCATGAGGACCCAGTTCGCTCCCCAGTACTCAGGTAAAAAGCAGGGCATGGTAGTACAAGCCTATAATCCCAGCACTGGGGAGATAGAGACAGGATCCCTGGGGCTCACTGGCCAGCTTGCCTAGCTGAACTGGTGAGCCATCAGCTAGACAGAGACTCATCCCAAAAAACAAGGCGGATAGGTACAGAGAAACACCCTAGATGAGGTTTCTGCACGAGTGTGTGCATGTAAACACACACACAGACACACACAGACACACACACACACACACACACAGAGAGAGAGAGAGAGAGAGAGAGAGAGAGAGAAAGTAAAATTTTCTTTGGTTGTTGAAGTAGGAGAAGAAGGAAAGCCCTCTCGTGTTCCAGATCCACATGTTAAACATCTGGTCAAACTCACCCAATAGAAAGAATTCCAGAAGGATTTAGGAGGAGTCTCAAGCAGGGAGGGACAAAAGCACTAGGAAGGCCTGGGGATCCTACAGGAGGGGTGTGTGTATGCGGGAGGCATCTGATTGACTAAACTGCTGGTGAGGTTTGGAGCTATCTGGCTCCAGGGTCTTAAAAAATCCAGCCTCTAGAGTCCAGGTCAAGGGGCACGGAGCTGGCTGACCCACACCATCCTGCCCAGCTCCACCGACTTCATGGAGAGGTGGCAGAGGCAAGCAGCTACCACAGAAACAAGATGCACCACCATAGGAGCTCCCAGCACCTTTGCAAGGGTCTGTGTGGACCTAAGAAAATGGCAGCGCTGGGAAACTCAGATCTCACCAATGTACTCAGATCCTGCTGGGTGCGGCGAGGAGTTGGGGCTGGGGACAGGAAATAGATGCAACAAATTCCTGAAAATTCAGACTTCTGGGTTTGTTGGTTTGTTTCCTACGCGAACAGTAGGGTATACATACGGGTGATCCCTTCTCAATTGAACTTTTCATCTCCCAAAGAAAGCCATTCCCAGAACTTTGTTGCTGGATGAACAAGCATTCCAGAGAAAGGAAGAGAGCTGCCAAACTAATAAAAGCATCCGCAGGAAGGGCATGCCTTAATGTAAGGACATGCCTTAATGTTCTCAAGAAAATTCACAAGGCAGAGAGGACATCCCCAGGGTCCTCGCCTGTTGCACACCATTGATTCCATATTGTGCTTTGCCAGAGTGGCACCCTGCTGCTGACATGGCTGAACTTGAACCTGGGCCCTGGGGCTCCAAGCCCTCTTCTTCGCTGCTGCAGAGCAGAAGTGGAGGGATTCAGGCAACGCTGGAATCAGGGAGGGAGGCTGGCCACCTTGTATAAAATCAAGTCCTGCACATCTCCACTAAAATCAGTTTATATAGCAGGGAAAGCTAGTGGGGGAGGGGAGACACTTAAGCACCCTAATCCAGGATGCCTATAGAAATAGTTGACCCCCCAAAGTAGCTAAAATGTTGACAGTCCCTCCTTTGCTTCAACACTAAAAACAAAGACCACTCTCTCTACAGGAGACCGGGTTACATTATCAAGGCAAGAGGAGGATCTGAGCTCAGGTCATCCAGCTTTATGGCCATCAGGGTACACACACACACACACACACACAGAGGTGCCATGTTGCTGCACCTGTCCTATGCACACAGGCAAAGCAACCCCTGACTACATCCAGGGTCACCAAGATCTGTGACATCAGTCTGTAGTTAGGACCCTATTTGTTCCTGAACGACATAAGAATGACTGGATAATGCTAAAAAACAATGATAGTAAATGACGGGGGGTGGGGAGATGACTAGATGTTGTCTATGAGGGGCACAAAAGCTTATTGGCAATGAAAGGCAGCAGCATCCTTTGGGGCAGTAGAAAGGGCTGAGGACCCCTGGCAGCCTATCAGTGGGGTTCGAAGGATGGAGTGTCCTACTCAATCGAGTTTCAAGTTTTTTGCTCAAATCTGGGGTCGCCTATTTGGATGTCAAATCACCTAGCTGGGAGTCACACTCCTACACTATACCCCAATGTCGGCCCCTGTGGCCGGACATGGGTCCTCCTACATGAATAATCTCTGGGGAGGAACAATGAGATGGATCCCTGACTTTGATCTGATGCCAACCTCTCCCTTGGTCTAGTGGAGTTTGTGGTCCCTGTGTGGATAAACCTCTCACTACTGCAGAAAGAAGCATACACCTTGGCTGGTGTCCTACCCACCCCTAAGACTCAAGGCCTGCCCCTTGCTGCCTGGGCTGAAGCTGGTCATGGAATTCAGAGGTGTGCTCTCTGCCCATTTGGTGTTGCTGTGATTCAGGTTGGGTGCTCCTAAAAGGCATGTGATTAGCTCCTCACAAAGTTTCATTTGATGCAAATGTTTGTGTGAGTATAGGTCAGAGGTCAGCTCCAGGTGTTTTCCCTTAAGACTCTGTTAACTTTGTTTTGCGGGAAAGGATCTCTCATGAGTCTGGAACTTGATCCCCAGGGATCTGCCTATATCTATCTAACTCCCAGCACAGCAATCACAAACGGGTGCCTGCCTCCATTTCCTGGTTGCTAGAGGTCCTCACACATGCATGAAAGTCTTTGCTGATGGAACTATCTCCCCAGCCCCTATTTGCTTAAACCACATCAGTCTGGACAGACTGACAGTAGATGAGGAACTGGGTGAAAAGAAAACTGGTCACATCTCTCCTTGTCAATGACCCTGGCTCCAAATGTAGATTGGTTTTTTGATATACTCAGGGCCAGTGACATCCAATCTCCAGCATCTGTTAAGTATGGATAAGGCTGCTTCCTCTTAGATTTATTTACCTAAGACACTGCCAGAGAGGAATGGCCTGCCTGCTCATCCCCCAGATCCAAGCACAAACTCTGTCCATGTCTTTATGGAGATGCATATTTTCACAATGAAACGTTTCAGCTCCAGGAATATATTTTAAGACTTATATTTTCATCTCCTACCACACCCTTGTTTTTCCTGGCAAAGCCCTCAAGAGTTTCAAACTGGATGGAGAGCAGAAGGCAGTGTTGGCGGATAGCTCTGCCTTCACAATTCCCTGGCAGGAAAGTGGGTTCGTGACCACAAGCGTTCTGTAGTAACAAACATCGACAGATACCTGGCCTGAAAAATCTGATTGAAAAAACTGGTATTCCCCTCTGCCTGGTACAACTTCTCCAGAAAAAAAAGAAAAGAAAAGAAAAAAGAAACAAAAACAAAAGTCAAAAAAACTCTCCTAGCTTCTCCTCCCTGCCTTCTAGAAAACCGCCCCCATCCAAATGGACTTTTATAACTCTAGCTGCTACTGATTTTGTCCTCCAAAACAAAGTTGAGTCCCTGAGGTACCAAGTCCACACTCTGGTGGCACAAAGGGCTCCAGGGAAACCACCTCCAAGTAAAACACCAGGTTTCTGAGCAGCGCAGATTCCTGGGCCTTAGTGCCTAAAAGCAGGGCCAGCCTGGTGCAATTCTTGTAGTTTTTCTCTTCCCCCAGTGTCTAGATCCCAGGCTAGATAATCAGGCTTGCTGGAAGCATCTAAACTTACAGTGTTTGGGTGGGAAACTGGGCTCACATGTCACACCAAAACACACTCTCTCCATTGTGGTCTTCCAGGGACATACCCCAAGGCGGCGGTGCCTGGCAGTCCCACCTCCCGCACTGAGGTCCTCAGACATAACACATACCGGCCACTGAGTGTGCGGTGATCAGGAACTATGGACATTATTCCTGTTTCACCCCAGAAAACTGAGGCTCTAAGTCGTAAACTCATCCAGGTCCGCTGGCTTCCTCTCTACTGTTCCCACTTTGTCTTTAAAGGTCCCTTCTCCGGGAGATTTCTGAACTCCCCCTCGCCGCCCACTCCGCCCTGGGTGGCCCGTCCCGCCGCACCCACCTCGTCGCCGAAGCGCACCAGCTTCTGGCCCGTGGGCCCGCGCAGGCCGGGGAAGCGCGTCGGGTCCCGCACGTCCCCCGCGTCGGCGGCGGCCGGGGCGCGCGGCCCCACCAGGCAGCGGTCGATGATTTCGTCCTGCTGCGCCGGCGGCAGCCGCGCCCACTCGGGCCCGTACTTCTCCCGGATCTTCTCCTTGTCCTGCATGATCTTCCTGGCCATGGGGCTCAGCGATGAGAAGTAGGTGAAGCGCTTCCGCTCCCGGTCGTCCAGCGGCCGGTTCCCGCTCATGACGGCCGAGCGCGAGGCCGCGATCGCCGCCGCCATCGACGCCATGCCCGGCCCGCGCGTCCCGGTCGGAGCGCCGCCTCCCGGTCCGCCCGCGCCCCGCCCCGGGGCTCCGCCTCCGTCTCGTCCCGGAGCGCCGTCTCTACCCCACCCGCTGCGCCCTCCTCCTCCGCCCCTGGCTGAGCACCGCCCCCAGACCTTCCCGGGACACCCTGCCTCCGGGCCACCTACGCCCCATCTGGTACTAGTCGGGACCACGAATCGTCCCTGAGCCCTGCCGGCACCTGAAGCCCCGCCTCCACCCTGAGCGCCTTTCCCCGCCGGAGCCCCGCCCCCACTGGAGCCCCGCCCCCGACCTCCTCCTGTCACTGCCCTTCCATTTCTCCTCCTTAGGACGCTTTCCTGGACCCTAGGGCATCTCTGGGTCTCCTATAGAGTCCTGCGTACAGGCGCCGCGGTTGGAGATGGCTCCAGGGGTCAACTCCGGGCGAAGACCGCCATGGCGCCACGTGGCACTGATGACAAAGGAAACTTCTTTCTGCACGTGCCCAGCTTGGTTCTCAATCATCCTCGCTCTTTTGCGTTCTTAGGCATTCATTGCGTTTTCAGGTTTACTCTCTGTTCGCTGGGCGATCCACCACATTGAGCTGGGGGCCAGGCTAGGGCACTGACCCACCAGTTGTCAACCAGGAGGCTGGACTTGCGCCCCTGGCAGTCTTAGAAGAAAACGTCTTCTAAGCCTGGCATGGAAGCACCGGCTTGTAGTACTAGCACTGGCCTGGCCTAGGCAAGAGGCTCACAGCAAATTCAAGGCCAACCTGGGTTATATAGTGAAAGTGTCTCACTACCGTTATCCCTACAGAAAGAAAGAACCCTGCTAAAAGTACCCAGTGTAAAGGGAAGTACCTTGAAGCTCCAAAGGTCTTTCCCCTCTCTGAAGGAAATAAACCAAGGCCTCTTCAAACTGTCAAAGCCTTTGCTTTCTGATGCTTGCCACTGCGAGGCAGACCCCATCCCCCACCCTACACACACACACACACACACACACACACACACACACACACCAATGTCAATTAAATCTCAGGACTCTCTGTCTTTAAACATCACTCAGGGTCCTAAGCAAAAATTAAAGGACTCTAGTCAGCAGACGCTGGCCAGAGCAAGGAGCCTGTATTCCATCAGTTTCAGTGAGGGAGCAACCCAAAAGCTTAAACTTCCAAAAATGGCCAAGCTAATCCTGGAATCTCAGAAATCACAAGCACTCCGGGAGGTTTGCTGACTGCAAACAAACTGAAGAGGATGGAAACTTCCCACAGGGAAGCGGATGTATCCCCAGAGGGGCCAGGCTTGCGGCTGAGACCACACAGTTTAAGTTTAAGACAGGGCTGTGGAATGTCTGTGGCCCCATCCCACTCCCTGATTTTCACAAGACTAACAGGTCTCAGGTAAGCATGATGTCCGATTCTGAAAAGCAACTAGAAACCAGCTGTGGCTTAGTTGTCTGTAAAGTAGCCCTTGCCTAACACTAAAGGCAAGTGCAGAAATGACCTGAATTCTTTGATATAAACGGAATGTCACAAATGTGACAGGCTCTGTAATAAAATATACCACCACTGTCTCAGTTATGGTTTCTATTGCTACAACGAAACACCGTGACCAAAAAAAACAAGTTGTGGAGAAGAGGGTTTATTCAGTTTACACTTCCGAATTGCTGTTCATCACAAAAGGAAGTCAGGACAGGAACTCACACAGGGCAGGAACCTGGACACAGGAGCTGACGCAGAGGCCATGGAGGATGCTGCTTACTGGCTTGCTTCCCTTGTCTTGCTCAGCCTGCTTTCTTATAGAACACAGGACTACCAGCTCAGGGATGTCACCATTCACAATGGCTGGGCCCTCACACCTTGATCACTAATTGAGAAAATGCCTTACAGCTGGATCTCATGGAGGCATTTCCTCAAGGGAGGCTCCTTTGTCTCTGATGACTCCAGCTTGTGTCAAGTTGACACATAGAACCAGCCAGTACAACCACCAAGAGTGTTATCAGGTACTGGGGATGTGGCTCAGTTTATAAAGTGCTTGACTAGCACGCATAAAGGTGAATTCCCTCTCTAGTACCCTGTAATTCAGGCATGGTTCACAGATATAATCCCAGCACTATATGAGGTCAAGGCAAGGGGATCAGATGTTCAAATACCCAGTCCATTCATAGCTAGACTACATTACATAACAACCTGTCTCCAAATTGTGTGTATGTGTGTGTGTGTGTGTGTGTTTGGCACAAAACAGGCATGGTGGTTCATACCAGTGACCCTTGTTTTGGGAAGGCTGAGGCAGGAGGATTGCCATGCATTTGAAACAAAACTGAACTGTACAGAGAGTTCCAGGCCAGCCTGGGCTACAGTATAAGATTATGTCTCAAAATAAATAAACACACCAAAGAAAGGAGAAAAGCAAAACCATGAGATGCCAGCTGAGTCTTTCAGAATGTGAAGGCATAAGCCACAAACTTGGGATGCTGGCTTTTTGGTATTATCATTAAATGGGACCATAACAAGTCTCTGTTACAGGCTCGGTACGCTGGCCCCAACCCCCTGGTTGATCTCCACTACCCTCTTAATAACACAAACGATGCTTAAAGAAATTTTCCTAAACTGCAAGTAGTCAGCCGTGGATGAATCATCTGTATTAACCATCCACGATCAGAGGCTCAGGGGACACTGCAGAAGTGGAGGCAGAGACACGGTGAACACACAGACAGGAAGAGCTGCAAAATGACATGGCAGCTGCACTGTGAACTCAGTGGCTGCAATTACCTGCACACAAGACCTACAGGATGTCAGGCCAGTCAAAATGGCAGCGTGATTCGGGGATGAGGCCTCAAGGCCTTACATCTGAAGGACCCACTAGCAGTTAGTGGATGCCAAAAGGGTACAGTCATTGTCTTTGAGGGACGTGCTGCTTGTAGGTTGGCCATGCTAGTGGATAATCTCATGTCCTTTCACATACGGATGGCACTAACTAGACAAGGGTTAGGAAGACACGAAGGTGACAGGGAGACAGGAGAAAAGCAATAGTGAATGGATATTATTAAATAGGTGGGATAAATTATGAAAAAATTAAAAATGGATTAAAAATTAACCTCTGTGTGCTCACCTTGAAACGACACAGGAGCAGGCTTCGGTTTCAGAGGCTCTGCCTCCTGCTGTTTTCAAAGTAGATGTGGAGCTGGCCAGTGAGATGGTTCTGTGGGTAAGAGCAACAACAGCTGCTCTTGCAGAGGACCTGCCTGAGTTTGGTTCCCAGCATCCTCATGGCAGCTCACATCTGTAACTCTAGTTCTAAGGGGTCTGACAGCCTCTTCTGACCTCTGTGGGCACTTCTTGTATGTGGTACGTGTTTACATACATACAGGCAAACAAACAACCAAATTAAAAAAAAATCCTCTTTATTTTAAAGCAGCTAAAAAATAAGTGCTGTTTAGAAAGAAACAAAGAAAGAAAGAAACAAGGAAACAAAGAAACAAAAAGAAACAAAGAAACAAGGAAAGAAATAAAGAATACTTTCATTAAGTTTTTTTTTTTTTTGGAGCAAATATAAGTTTTTGCAAGGGAAGTTTCTAAAGTACTGTAAGTCTGAAGGCAGCTGTAACCCCAGCTGCTCTGTAGGCTGAGGCCTGAACTGAAAGTTCCAGGGCTCCTTTTGGTTCACAGGGTGTGAGGGCTGGGAAGGAGAAAGGGGGAGAGACCTTGCTTTTCTCTCTAGCACTCAGCACTTCCAAGTGCCGTGCTTGGCTGTATCACCGTCTGAGCCCCAACGGTGTGTTTCACTCTTCCGGGTCAGGGTGAGAACAGGTGCTCGTGTAGCTGGTGCTGCAGAGTGGGGGACTCTGGGCCTTCAGGGACTGGGTCATAGTGGGAGATGGGTCACAGAAAGTTAGCTTTCAAGGGTTACAGGCTGACCCACTTCATCCTTTGGTTCTTGCTCCATCAAGGTGTGAACTTTAAAATATGGGCATCAAGCAGCGTTGTCAGTTATGTGGTCACGGTACTGGGCAAAGGAACTGATGTGACATACAGGCCAGAGAAACACAACCAAATGGATAGCTAGTGGATGCAAGATGGTAAGGGACTGATATGGTCGTGTGTTGTGGGGTGAGTGGGATGGACACACAGCCCCTGCAGTGTGTACTGCTCATCCAGGGCCAGGAAGAGGCGGGTGAGGCAGCTGCGCTCAGGATGTCCGGGCCCAGCACAGACAGGCACAGTGCTTTTCTGCTCATGTGAGCTGCAGGATTTCCACCACTGAGATTTTTACATCATAGACTTCATCTCCTTTGTCTTTTTGGGCTTTGAAGATGAGGGGTCTTGCTGTGTAGCTAGGATGGCCTCGATAATGACCCGACTTCCTTAACTTCTTGGTTGCTAGGATTTCAGGGTTTACCACCATACTTGAATTCCCTTTTTGACATGGTCTTTTTATGTAGCCAGGGTGGCCTGGGATCTGTGACCATTCTACCCCAGCCTCTTGAATGCTGGGAACCACATCTTAACAAGAACCTTAGCTATCAAAGAACTTTCTAACTTCCATTTATTTACTGCCCACGGACTGACTGTGCAGACAACGGTTAACACATTGCAGCAGACATGCCATCCTCACTGATCTCAGATCAGGTTCGTCTTTAGGAACAACCCAACACCATCAGAAAGTTCTGTGCTGCTGCTGGCCCACTGTCCTAGGACCACACAGGGAACCACTGTCCTAAAAGCTTCATCACCAGCCCAAAGCTTCCAGCAGCCCAGGAAGACAAAATGAGGTGCAGTTTGCTCCCATTTTCTGGGTGCCCTCCATGATTAACATGGCGGGGGGAACACTAACTATGGAGGACTGAGCTCATGCTGACAGCTTTCAGGGATACTTAAAGGCAGTTTCGGCACTGCACCTGAGTTGTATCACCAAGCCAATGGCCTATGAACTCAGTTGGTGGGAATGGCACAGGGCACTTCACCTCTGGCATCTAGGCCTCACCTAAGTGGTGAAGGGCCAGACAACCTGCCTCTTACCATCTCCCTGAAGCTTCTCTCTCCATCAGTGAGTCAGGCCATTCTTGCAAGCCTGGACTCAGGCGATCTGCCACGCCAGTGATGCTCACGTATCCTTCACTACAGGAAGATCCATGGACAGAGGCGGGGCCTGGAATATTCTCTTCTGTCTTGCTGCCCAATGGAAGATGTGGTACCCATGTAGAAGGTGTTCCCTGAGCCAAACCCGCATTTTCTAAGTGAATGTATTCTGCCGCCATGGCTGGTGTGCGTAGTCACAGGTCAAGGACATGACCTTTTCCTTTGGAGTCTGAGGGCTGAGTAATTTTGCTAATGTGGAGTAGGGCTGTTCTCTAGGCTGCAGATGTCTGAGGCAGCTTACAAGGAGGCAGCAAGCACAGGGCCCTGATGCTCTCATCCAAATGCATTTTAGGAGCAAATGCTGGGCCCCTCCTCTCTGGACCAGCTCTTCCCTGGAAAGGTGTCAGAGAAGATCTTCCCAATGGCTCCTAGTTCAGATACTATGTCTGAGTATCTTCAGACTCAGACAGAATCACTTCATCTGTCATCTGGTGCACGAGTTCCAATCAGCTGTTGGCATAACAGCTGGGCACTCTGGCCTGACAACAAAGCAAAATTAAGTGATCAAATCTGACTGGTCCACTGGACACAGGCCACTCTCCTCAGTGGTATTCAAAATGGGCGCTCCTGGGCAGCTGTGGGCCTCTCAGGTTGCTGCCAAGTGACAGCTGGGCAGCCTCTACAGCTCAGAGAACAGGGAGATACCCAGTCCTCAGGACTAACAAGTCCAAGTGGAGACAGGTCCAGCCAGGACTGCTCGGGGCCATGTGCTGGGAGGGGCATCCCTTGCCCAGCAGTCTTGCTGGCCCCCACCACACACCTCCCTTAGAGGGACTCTGTCTTCCTGCATCTACTCAACTTGCTCTTTTTCTCTGGAGGCAGCTTTTAAAGTTGAAATACAAAAACTGTGTGTGTATGCATATGTACACATGCATATATATATTATTTTTTTTGAGACAGGATCTCATAGTGTAGCCAAAACTGACCTAGAATTATACATACAGCTCATGTTATCCCAAACTTGGAGCAATCCTCCTGCTTTGGCCTCCTGATGGCTAGGATAATGGGCACATGCTAACCACAACTGGCTTGGAATCCTTCCTTTTCTTTCTTCCTGGGTCAGATACCCCACAGTGGCCTTGAACTCACTACAGAGCTGAGGATGACTTTCCTGATCCCCCTGCCTACTGGGATCACTGGCACCCTGTGTTATTCTGAGGCACTTACAGCCATGTTTTTACGTGCATTATGAGGTGTGAGTTGAGGTCCTTGAGATGGTGCGGCAAGTGCTTTACCCACAAGGCTGCCTCTCCACTCCCTTTGTGTGAGGTTCTAAGAGACAGATTCATGCTCCGAGATTCATGTTGGAGAACTAACAGCTCTGAACAGGACCGCTACTGTGTCACAAGTGTGGACTTAAGCTGATGAGAGGACCACAGAAACGAATTCCCAACGTTCTTCCTAGGACAGGTCTCACCACACCCTAGGGTGATATCTTCTTGGCTACCAAACAGAACTGCCCATGAGGTTTTGTTGGACCCTGGGAAAATTTGACCCATATATTCAGGGAGCTTCTGGCTATTCTGCTTCCCGGGACTTGTAACATCTAAACACGTCACCTGCATGGGCAAAGTTGGGATAGTAACCGCTGAAACTGAAATGTACTAGTTTCTAGTCAGTGGGCTGGTGAGCGGTCCTTACCGTTGTCTCAGCTTCCATCATGACAGTCTGTGGACAATGGGAGGAAAAGTCCCTGAAGAAACGCAGTCTGTGATTTAGGCAACAGGGAAGTTGCAAAGGCTCACATGTTGTCTGCTTCTACCGGTGGTCTCCACCCTCCCCTCCCTCCCACTGTCGGGATGCATCTGCTGGCATGCCTGAGCTTGACATTCACCAGGACCTTGGTGCAGGATGAGATAGCACACACCGCTCAGAGTGCACTCTGGGACTCAGACAACACAAATCTGGACCCTGGGTGTGGGTGTGTAGCACCCTTGTGCCAGACCCCTTCGCCAGCCTCCCTGCCCCGAGCACCCTGACTTCAGGCTCAGCTTGCCCCCGCCAGCTTCAGTGGTTTGTCTAGGCCCCACTTCTGGCTTTGGGACCATTTGTCAGCGAGGTGGAGCCAAGGGTGTGAAGGAGTCCAAGCAGCACGTTCTGAGCACTGAGTTGAGGCAGCAGGAGCTTGTGAGTCCTCTCCTCAGCTCCCGGTGAGTCTCCTAGATCCCCCAGAACCAGCTGTAGCCCATCGGCCGTGGCAGGGAGTCAGGATCACCCAGCACCATCCTGTGGTCTGCTGGCTGTGGCAGGGAGTCAGAGACCACTTAGGGTATGGGCTTCAGCTTGGGAAACAAATGGTGAAAAAGACCAGGAGTGGACTCTGGCTACAGAATGGGTTCCGACAACTCCTCAGTCCAACTCCCTTGGGTCACTTTGGGGAAGTCACTGCTCTGGCAACGACAGATGGTGGTAGGGGGTCCCAAGGCCCACAGCGACAAGCCCACTCAAGGGATCACGAGACACACAGTCCAAGCTACACAGGTTGATGCTGCCCTGCTATCACTGGAACTTCAGGGCAGAAGCTAGGTTTGAGGCTGAGTAGCTGAGTGTTTCCCAGGGTGTGAGGAGCCTGGTTGCACCTCCAGCATCTGAACAGGAACATGCAAGGCCACAACATCAACAGCAAAACTACAAAAGTGACCACGGTTTGAAACTGTAGCCTTTAATGGACCTTAATCCTCCGTCTTCCACCCTGTCTGAGGAAACAAGAAACGTTCTCAACGCTCTTACACTGAAAGCAAAGCTAGGTCACACACAAACACAACGTAATCCAGTGCCCGGACTTGGCGACTTTCGGAAATCACCTTGGGTTATTTTTTTCCAACAAAGAAAAGAAAAACATGGTTCAGTGATTGGCAAATACTGTCTGTCGCCTGGCCAGTGCTTCTTGCCACGAGCCATGGAACCATGGGTGCTGGGGGTCCTTCCACAGTTCTGGGGGGCTGGAGGGCCCACATGTGGGAGCATGGCAGTAGCGAGGCACCCCACAGAGGTGCACAGGAAGGAGGTCTGAGAACCGCCCACACCTCGGACGGTGAAGACGAGCCCCGCTGGCTGTTGGCTTTCTTCATCTTAATTATTAATTTTTGGTTTCTGAAGTAAACATTTTTTGCTGTAAGGAAGGAGCAGTATACCTTAACACTTGGGAACCAACAGGCTGCCACTAATACACATACTTCCCTTCCTGGTCAAGTAGCTTTTACCCCGAAAAACCCGTTTTCATGATTTCTGTTATGGTTCAGAAAAAGTAAAGAAAAGGTTTTCAAGTATTCAATTCCTATCAAAAATTGGTATCAAAAGTAATAAAGGACCTAATTCCATAATAATTCCATGTCTTAAAAAATAACTTAAGGAGCGAGAGGCCTGGCCCTTCACGTGTATAAATCCTGATTTGGCTAGAGTTTCTTTGGACACCGTGGGTTGGAATCCGTGTTGAGCACCTCGATCATGGACCTTAGAGTTGGGAACGTCTCTGATACTGATGGCAGGGTCTTGTAGGAAGGGGAAATACTGGAAGAGAAACACAGGGAAACTGTGACTATTAGCAATGCCTTATACGGAGGGCCATAACCTGGGTATATGCAACCAGAAAGGAAGGAAGGCACAGCAGACCCTTCTGTAGTAGCGACCTCATGTCCTGAGCTGCTTGGAAGCTCACCCAGAACTTTGGGGAAGTTTAATATGCACAGGACCCCACATAGCACAACTCATATCCTGCTGTGGCTACCTTACATCTGAGCCTGACTCTGAGGATGCTAAGCCTGACTCTGAGGATGCTGAGCCTGACTCTGAGGATGCTGGCTCAGGCCTGGCCCCGCCCCTCCTGATTCTGTCACTTGTCTGAGCCTGTTTCCCCATCTGCAGCAATAGATCAAATCCTTAGCTTAGAATTCCCATGATCCTTGGGAAACATTACATACTAGGTTTTCCATGAACCTGGACTGCAACATGTGGCTGTGTGGTTTGTGGAAAGACTTGCTAAAATTATCTAAAGGAAAGGAAGCAGGGCCCACCCTCCACCTTGTGACCACATCACCAAACCATGTGTAAACGAGTAACGTCAAAACAAGACTCTAAGGGACAAGCTCAGCAATGTGGATGACAGACTTCTCAGTTTTAAACACAGCTCAAGTGGCCTGTTAGGTGACAGAGTGGCCGGTGTCATGTAGGCAGGAAGGGATGTAAAATAAGTCACGCAGAGTCTCGCTCAAGCTTGTACTCACTCTCAGCATCTCTGGAGGTACAGTCCTAAGGCACCTCACTGGACTCCAGCACACGGGGACAACGGGGTTGGTGTGTGTGTGTGTGCACCCCTGCTGACCTGGTCATACAGAGTTCCTGCCTAGGTTGCAACCAAGTAGCAACTGGAGTGTCATAAAAGCAAGCCACTAGGCCTGTGCTACATACACACGTCATAGAAACGAATGCTTTCAATCTACTCCTCAACTCTGGGCCCGAGTTTGGGGTAATGAAGGGGCGGGGAGAGGGAGAAAAGGAGAGAGGGAGAGGGAGGGGGGAGGAAGGAGGGGGAGAAATAGGGTGGAGGGGGAAAGAGGGACAGAGAGGGGAAAGGGAGAGGGGGGAGAGACAGGGAACCTGCGTACATAAAAGAGAGACCAGTAAACTTTCCTTCATACGCAGTTTTCTGCGTCATTACTCACTTTGAATATTACACGTGTGTGAGTACACGTATGTGCGGGTGTGTGTGTGGTAGCCCTAGGCTAACATGAAGACTTAACTCCTCTGCACTGTGTTCATTGCTGAACTCAGAGCTCACAGATACAGGCTAGCTGAGCAGACCACCTTGGGCTTGGGATCCTGGCTGCATTCCGACCTGTGACCGACCACAACCACCCAGCATTTTCTTTGGGCTCTGGGGGGAAACTGGGTTCTCAGGATGAACATTTAGGATCATTTATCAACTGATCTTTCTCTCCATCTCCCTCATCACTCATTTTTACCTGTAGTAAAATGTCTCCACCTTAAAACAGAGTACTGAACAACTGTACGGACTAGCCCACGGAATGAGCACATCACCACAGCCTCTGCCCGGTGCAGAGTGAGGACCCCGTGCCTTCCCCAGCGAGCCTGCTCCAACCACAGCTGCGGTTACCTTTTCAAGTTCATCCAGCTTTTTGCTATTTTGCTGAAGGCCTCTGAGCCAGGCGCTGTCATGGCTTCAAAATCAACTAACTGGAAAAGAGGAGAGTCAGGATGTGAGGAGAGGAAGGTGTGAGGTCTAGCTCACATGCGGCCCATGACCAGAGGCCCGGGGTGTGGTGCAGCCATGCGGTACATAACCAGAGGCCCGGGGCATGCGTGGTGCAGCCGTGCTGTGCCTCCACCAGCCCAGCATACCTTCCCTTTGGGGATCTTCCCAGCCACTTCTTTGCCACTGGCCATCAGCGCTCCCACAATGACTGAGTATGCGATGACACTGTCAAGACAGGACAGACTTCAGCCAGCCCTGGTCTATGGCTATCACGCTAACCTCCCTGCGGGTGTCCATCATGAAACAGAGTCTTACACAGGAATTCTTTGGACTAGAACCTTAGATGTTTAGTTAACAGAAGAACTTGGCTGTGTTTGTTTTGAGAACATTTCTACTTTCCTATGTACAGAGCATAAGGAACTTGAGGGTCACTGTCAACGGGAACACCTGCTTTCTGAGGGAAGGCATATTGCCACCAGTTTGTTTCCTGCTTCCTTCTCTGCTTTTGAGAGGAGCACAAAAGCCTCTCCTCTTGGCCTTACCTTAAGTTCCCTTGATGGTAGGTCAAGGATGTGATCTTTCTGTTGTACATTTTGATTCCTCGAGACAGGGCCTCACTATGTGGACCAGGCTGGCATCATACTCACAGAGACCCACCTGCCTCTGTCTCCTCAGGGTTACCATTAAATGCACGTGCCACTATACCCAACAAAAAGGTGATTTGGGGGCCGGGGTGGTGGTGGGGGGTGGATTTTAGAAGAAATAATGGTAACTTCTCTTGGTTTGTAGTGGGCTTTAGAGTCTGTCTCTGTGACACACACACATAAGTCACTGCGATAGTTTCAACTTGAAACTGTCATAGTATGGGACATCACTTACCTAGATCCTCGAGACAGGGGCATTAAATTATAAAAGTAATAAACTAAGGATAAGATTAGGTTGCAGACAGCATCAGCCTCCTAGGGAAAAAGGACAAAGATTCATGAAGTTCAAGCCCACGTCACAAACTACTGCTGCCCAAGACTCTGACAAGCTGCTTCCCGGCCTCAGGGGGAGGCTCTGAGGCTGAGGTGCTTAGTTCTATCCAGGCTGAACAAACTTAAAACCAGGCTGAGATGTTTCAAACACACAGAATAACTGACTAAAAGTCAAGGAAGTGTAGAGGCTTCTGGGAGCCTCCACTGCCTGACAGGAAGCCCTTCCTCCTGCTAGGAGCCACTTCTTGTCTCCACAGGCAAGGGGAGAGAAGTCAGAGACCAAAGAACTCCCAGCCTCTGTGTTCTCTCACTGCCAGGAGCCAGCCAGCATGTAGCAGCTGGCTGGAAGGAGAGCTTGCTGGAAGTGCACATGATGTGACTGGTCACGTGTGGCTGCAGGCAGGAGGCAGAGCGCATGGCAGTGCTAAGCTCACTTCCCTTCCCACTTCTGATTCAGTCCAGGACAAATGGTGCATGGAGGGTGCTGCCCACATTCGGGTGGGTCTCCCTCCCTCAGTTAGACCTTTCTAGAAATAATCTTATAGACACAGCCAGAGGTGCCTCCTAGGTGACTCTAAATCCCTTCAATGTGGCAGTCATAACCACAGTTTCACAGTAAGCAGCAGTTCTAATGAGGGAGCATACAGACTATGCTCACTGCGGCCAACCTGGATGAACCTCTTGTGACAGACAACCTGTACTGATGCAGCACAGAGCTAACAGTATGAACTGTATCATCCCAGTACTGTGGCTGCTAAACCCTGGGAATGTTTTTGCTCCAAGGAGTATTAGAAAGGAGGTTGAGGCGATTACAGTTGATTTCAGGCATAAGACATACAGCCTCAGTGAAACAGGGGAAGTATGTGGGGTCATCTGCCAAACAAATTACAGGATTCTGGTGTGGCTCAGCAGTGAAGCACTGCCTAGCACATGTGGAGTCCTGGGTGCCAACCTCAGCAACACACATGCACACATGTGTGTACATGTGCATACACACTCACAAAACACACTCACACCAGGCTCCATCCTCAGCAACACATACACACACACTCACTCACATACTTAAAACACATGCACACACAGACACACACATACATATATACACATACATCAGGTTCCATCCTTAGCAACACACGTGTATACACATGCACACACACTGACTCACAAACACACTCACATAAGGTTCTATCCTCAGCAAAACACACACACACAAACACACGACCCAGGAAGAGAAAATGAAACAAAGCCAAACCTACCCCGAATTCTGCCGAGAGGGTCAGTACTTTGCCCTTTGCGGTCAGGTCTTTATAAAGTGCATCTATTTCAGCGTGATAGAGCTGTGTCCTCTCTTCTGTGGTTTGAGTTTCCACAGAGAACAGGATATTGCCAACCCTGGAAACACAAGCAGAGCTGTCAACAGCATAGATTAAATAGTCAAACAGACACCGGAGAAGTGGTGTGTGTGATGTGCATGTGTGTATGCTCACGGTGGCCGCCCGGTGTGCTCCGGGCCCTGTTGTCATTTTCCCAGCCACTCTGCCTAGTCAGAAGCAGGAGGTGTGGGAGGTTCATGAACATAGCTGCTGCCATGTCCTGTGCTTAGGCTTCTGCATGCAGCTCCGCTGTGGTCCTGTGAGGATAAACTCACAGAGTGTGGACTTATCATGATGCTGTCTGCAGAACTTCCTAGTTCTCAGAACCTTTGGCTGGAGGGACGGAGACCAGGCTTGGGGACATGGAGGGAAGAGGATTGTTAATTTGGAAGACACGGGAAAAAGCTGAAAGTTTCATGGGAGAAGTGGCCTGAATGTAGGTTCATCCTATTTAAATTCAGCAGGGCACACACACACACACACACACACACACACACACACACACAGCAGAAAGGGATCTTGCTGGGAAGAAGGGTTTTAGTGGGAATAACTGGGGAAACAAAAAGGACTAAAGCTCATTACATACATGTATGAGACTATCATAGGAAAAATAACTTTAAATGCTTCTCAGTCAGTGACCGTGAGAGCAAGGGCAGAACTCGCCAGTGGCAGCCAGAGCCTCGATGTCCAAAGTTCACTTCTAAGTTCTTTATTTTGGTCATTTGTGTCCAAACTTTCCGTGAAGGCATCGCCACCCTCGTAAGGCCCAATTATCAGCAATTTGTACATGGCGGCCCTGTGCGGTGGCCCTGAGCCTGCATGGGGCCTTGTCTCGCTGCTGCTGGACAAGCTCTCCAGAGCCTCTGAGCACCAGGCAGAGGTGCTGTGGGAATGCGAATGGGTTGTGTGCACTTAGCCAGGAAGGACGCTGCCCCGGACATACACAGAGTGTACACATGGACCAGACACGGCTCAGGTCAGGACACCCCTCCACTGGCCACCCCCAACCCTGTGTCACACTGGGGTGCACATACTTGTCTCCTGTGATGGTGATGGTGAAGCCGTCATATTCCTTCCCTTGATCTTTGAGGCTGGGGACTTTGGTGTTCACAGTGAACCCGTCCTTTGTTTTGGTATTAAACTGCTTTCGGAGGGAAAATAAAAATCCATATTAGTTGCAGTGCTCACGCTGCAACATGGCACTGTCACCTACAAACACGCTGGGCTGCATTCTCAGCTCCCATGGGCTGCATACAGCCTGGATGCTACAGGCTAGGCACGTCTGCTTCTAATCTGTCCTGAACCTTGTCTCAGCCCTGGGTTTGTCTGAGGCACTCAGACTGAGAGAACATGTGCTCTCTCCTAGTAGGCAGTGGCTAAGAACACCTCTCCTCTCTTTAGATGCAACACAGGCCCCAAGGGCCTCACATCCCACAAGTCTACAGAGCAGTAGAGGCCCCAGCAGAAAGCTGCAGGCGCCGTAGCTACAGCCAAGATTTGGCTCAGTGTGGCAGCTGTTCTGGGGTCGATTCTCCCAATGCAGCAGGCAGCAGTGTTGCCTGCCGGGAGCAGCAGTGCCAGCTCCTGAAACCTGAAAAGGGCTGTGTTCCTGCAAGTGCTCCCCAGAGCTGCAGGCCCAAGAGGTGCTCAGTGGTTCCTCTCCAGCTGCATTTTACAGTCACAAATTTTAACCTTGCAGACCACAGGTTGTGAGGGGAGCTCCTCAGAGCTGGCCAGGGTGTCTCCTAGGAGCACAGCCTTAGATGCCAGCTCTGGTAGTAAACAAGTTCTGCCTTTACTCTAGAACAATGCCATCCGACTACGGCTGGGATGGATGGAGCTGGAATTAGACAGGCAATGACAAAGGCCTTCTCTGGGCTCTAGAGGGAGGGCTTCTCCAACAGCAGGCCACAGGAGTGTTGGCTGGAGGCCCAGAGCAGGGTGCAGCTGGACAGGGCTGGCTACCAGGGCTTTCAGCTGAACTCGAGTGAGAAGCGTCTTTCTTCAGGGAATGGCTCTCAGAAGACAAGTGCAGGTGCTTCCTGGATACCAGCTAAAGCCTGGCCACAAACTGACCAGGTATGAACACACAGTCATGGGAAAGGTTAAGCCTGGTCAAGCCACTGGGCCAGGAAGTGGCAGAATGGAGGGGCAAGGGCAGGCCTCTGACTCTGGTCCATGCTCCTGGCTAACGAGCTACCTGCTGGGACCCGAGTGCTTTTCTAAGTCTCCAGTGGCACGCCGTGTTTTTCAGAGAGTGAAGCAAGCTACATGTTTGTCATATGCTTTGAGTGCACACAGACCGACACATCCATAATCTGGCTGAAGCTAGTCTGAAGCTGGAAATGCTCCCATCCACAGGACAGGCTCCTACAGACAACACAGCAGGGCAGTGCTGCCACCCTCTGGCTAGGTGCTGTGGACTCACCTCGGTACACTTAGCTTTCCTTTCCACTATCTGTGTAAGCAGATTTCATCTTCCACCTGATGTCTTACTACATTTTAGTGACTGAAATCCACAGGAAAGTAACTGAGAATCGGGTCCACTACAGTGTCAGTCTCCTGTCCACGGAGTGTCCTGCCGCCTGTCATGGAGGAGCGGCCATGACACTGAAGGTCAGCACCACACAGGTGGTTAAAAGCCACCTGAGATCCTTCCTCCAACAAGTCTGTCATCGTGTCATGTGATACTTATCATGGCTATTTTTGTCTCCTTCTGTGACCTTTCCGTTGGACCGACATCTTTCTTTGGTCCTGACTTTCTATGTCAAAGGTGCACCTCAGTTCCATTCTTTCAGAGCGCATTTCAGATTAAAACAGACGTCAAAGTTCATGCTGTTCCTGCCGTACGGTGCTGGGGAGTGATCATGGGCCTGGTGTGTACCAGGAGAGTGTACCCTGACTCCCAGTGAGGCACCACTGGGAGGTTCTCGGAGGAACCGCCCACCTTCAAGGCCACAGCTCCATGTCGGCCGGCTCTGCAGACCCCCGACACCTCAGCTCACAGCGGACTCTGAGCAACCCCTGCCTTGTGGTAGGGGCACGGGCTTTCCCTGCAGATGTGGTCACACAACAAGGACAGCTCCATCCCTGCCTCAGGCACCTCCTCCTCTTCTGCAGCTGCCGGCATCCACACACCTGTCCTATGGTACAATGAATGATGCCCGAAGGCGGAGGAAATGGGGTTCCCCAACTCTTCTCTTCTCTCAGGAATCCATCTGACTACAGCTGCCATGGCGTCTCACATGCATGAGGGCAGCTGAGGAGAACTGGACTCTGGCCACAGGTCCAGTTTGAGTATATTCATTTTCAGGTCCATTGTTTCCTGAATTGACTGCTTCTCAAAAGTCATTTCTGGTTGAGTCTGGTTCCAGCACTGTACTTGATCTGGGTTACTGCTTACAGTGTGTTTATGTGGGGATCTCAGATGCTATCCTTTATATGTTTTAAGACAGGACAACATTCAAACATGTGTTGTGCTTTTTTTTTTCTTGACATGTTGTTGGTTTTCTCTTATACGATTATATATCCCGAGATATATTTTTAATTTAAAAAAAAAATTTGTATGTGTATGTGTGCTTTGTCTGCACAACCTACATGCCGGTGCCGGCAGAGGTCAGAAGTTAGATCCCTTGGCACCGGACTTACAGATGGTTTTAAGTCACCATGTGAGGTCACCATGTGAATGCTGGGAATCGAACTCAGGTCCTTGGGACAATGAAGCCAGTGCTCTTCAGTGCTGTGTCATTACTCCAGCCCCACCTGAGATGCTGATGGCAAACTTACCTTCATAATTGGAAGAAGGTCTTCCACTTTATGTACCTTTTCCAGAGCTTCTCTGACTTCCAATAAGCCCTTTGGATTATTTGCTCTTGAAGAGAGGGGAAGAGCAGAGGGAGGAGGCAAGTGAGGTTAATGCAGAGTAAGATAAGCCAATCTGTTTACATTTTAAACAACTGCTCCTAAGGACAAGCAGCTCAGTGCTGTGAGCCTGCAAATTCCTAGGCTCCTCACTGACAGGGTCATCCACTCAAATCAATAATACGTGTGAGAAAATCCCACTCTTGACGGTTCTGACCCTCCTGCTCCGCATCCACCTAGATGGCCGAAAGCATGCAGAGGCCGGTGTGTGGCTTCTGTATAAACGTCATGCCATCTAACGCCAAGGACCTGAACATGACAAGATCTTGGGGATCCACTGCCAGACACTGAGGATGAGCAGTATCCCAAAATGGCCAACAGCAGGAGGAGTCACTGCGAGCTAACAGGTGTGGGGCTGCAGAGGCGCGTGAGGTGAATCAGGAAATGCAGCAGGCTAGCGCACAGGCGCAGGCGTCTTAGCAAAACCTTGACTGTTCTGCTCCAACTCTGCACTGGGAAGTATGTACGGTTTGACTTCTAAAGCTGCTCAGATCAAAGTTCCCTGGCTGGGGATCCCCACGGTTCTCAAGCTCAGCTGGTGATTCCTCCACAGAGCTGAACTCCCCACCGGACGAAAGCTCCGTAGGCAAGCGGAATGCCACTGTGCTGAGCGTCAGGCCAAAAGCACTGCCAAGCCAAGGCTCTGTGAAGCTGGTACATGGAAGGCAGGCTCTGATTGAACTTCTGATCTATTTCGCTTGGTCTGCCAGTGGTTCAAGTTTTAAATTTCACAGATATACCACATATGAAATGCCTGGGATCAACGCTTCACAGTAAAGGGGACGACTGAAGGCTTACCCGTGATAAACAAGAATTCTATCTTTAATAAAATGAAGTATTTTCTCAAAATATTCCAGATATCTCATATTAATCACCTGACCCCTGTAAGGGAAAAGTGATAAAATTAACCATCATTTTACCGAGGAGTGTAAATACCAGTTAATTCCAAAAACACAGAGCTGAGATGAATATGGTAAAGCATAAGAGAGCTGCTTGCTCTGTCACTGTGGGAGAAGCAAGTCCCAGCTCAGCAGAAGGCTTGGGCTCTTGGAGTCTGTCCTGGCAGAAAGTGTAGCTCCTGACAGGCCACAGAGGAAGGAGAGCCCTCGGCTTCAGTGGGGTTCAGACCTGATGGCTCTCTCTGTATGCGCGCCTGTGTGATGGACCCACCTAGCTCTCTGTGCACGCTAGGCTCTCTGTGCGTGCGCCTGCCTGTCTGAGGGTGTCTCTCCCTCTCTTCAGCAGTCTTCCTTCCCTCCATACTCTGAAGACACTATACCCTCACATTCCAACTCCCTGTTTTTTTGTTTTCTTTTTTGTTTTTTGTTTTTTTTTTCTTCCCCTTTAACCTCTCTCGAGGGCATTCACGTCTAGCGGCAGCTGTGTCTAAGTCGTCTGCCCTAGGAGACTCCCCGGTTCCGACGGCTCCCTCCTTCACACCACAGTCATGGTGCGAGCAGGCCTTCTCTCCCTGATAGGGCGTTTCAGTTTCCAGCTCCACACTCTTTCTCCTAGGCTGACAGGGACAACTGTGGCCTCAGCGGGAAGCAGAGTGGGCACCTCTGATGCTCTTCTGTCAGCCTCCTCAGAGTGTCTGCAGCTCCCTTCCAAGCCCTGCAGGGGTCGCTGGGGCTGCATGTCTACACTGGTTCCCAGCCTGCTGTCCCCTCTCGAATCTGTTCATTCATCTGCAGCCACCACGACCCTCCACTTGTCCACATCTGTCCTTGCTGTTCCTCTGCTCACTGGCCATGCATGGCTCACCATTCTGGCTCCTACCCATCTTTCTGGCCTCAGTTCACGAGACTTCCTGGAATGCAGTGGTTGGCAGCTACAATGGATGAGTCACAGCTTTCTAGTCAGAATGAATTCACCAGTGGGTTGAGGCACAGCCCCACTGTCTCTCTGAGACAGTTCAGGTTTGGCCTCTGGAGACACCAGGTGTCCCTTCCTTCTCTGCACTCCATCAAATCCTGACATGGGCCTGTGACTCAAGTGCCATTCAGCAAGAACATAAGCTGGTACACAGTAGCCTCGGTCACAGCACGTGACCAAACCTAGGTAAAAGTGTCACAAATCATTCCGTGAGGAATTGAAAGCAAGCACTTACAAAGGGAAAATAAACATGATTTCTAGAAATTAAAAAGATAAGTCTAAAAACTACTTTTATACTAAAATTTAAATTTAAATGTCACATGTTAGATGGAGTAACATTTTCTTGATCTGGGTTCTGGAGCTAGAAATACTTCAGATACGACACAGAACCACACCTGCCAAAACGATCTAAAGCCATGTTGACTGAATGGTAGCAGACACTTGCAGCGTCCCTAAGTGGGCTCCTCAGTGTGTGTCTATGCTGTTGTCAGGGAGCGGAGCCCATAAAGGAAGGAAAGGGGAGCGCTCACCCAGGGCCTGACTGCACCTGTCAGTCCACCCTTCAGTGGGCGGGGCTCTCGCTGTGCAGGTGCAGAGCTGCCCTGGGTGTGTCCCCCACCAAGGCCACCTGGCCCCTCATATGGCTCCACTCCTATGCAAACAGAAACAAACAGAAACAGAAACGACGGCTCCCACCTGATTAAGTTGATGTGGTTGTTGAAACCTCTGCTGAGACTTGGCGCTGGCATCTGATCCAGCCACAGCACGGGCTGGTCCGGGTCAGCGATCCTGTGAAGCAGAGCTCATAAGGGCCTTACCCACGGCCTCCAGGGTAAACCAAGGACGGGGCTCTGTGAAAGGGAGGGAGGAGCCTGACTGGCTCCGACTTCTGAAAAGAGCATGTGGGCCATCCAATCCCAGTGCAGTCTAGCCACACCAGGTGAGTGGCCAGCAAAGGTTGGTGAGCTGTAATGGTTCGTCTAAACTGTCAACTTGGCGAATCAACCGAGGAAACACATCCATAATGGTGATTCCAAAGAGGGCTAACTGGTGGGGAAGGAGCACCCTACACGTCCTTGGCACCACTCCACACTCTAGGGGCGTTCTGTGGGCTAGGGGCCCACACTCAATAATGAGGAGTGAGCTGAGTGCTAGCATTCATCTCTGCTTCCTGACTGGACTCCAGGGGAGCAAGCCCTTCCTCTCTGAAACTGCTTGTTGTCACAGCAAAGGGGATAGGAATGGATACACTGGGCAGGCACATGCACACTAGAGAAATCCAGAGGTGTCTGCACCTTAGGGGACAGGTCTCAAGTAAGGAAGGACACTTCGAGCCAGGTGGTGGTGGTGCACACTTTTAATCCCAGCACTTGGGAGGCAGAGGGCAGAGGGCAGAGAGCAGAGGGCAGAGGGCAGAGGGCAGAGGGCAGAGGGCAGAGGGCAGAGGGCAGAAGGCAGAGGGCAGAGATAGGTCTCTGAGTCTGAGGCCAGCCTGGTCTACATAGTGAGTTGGAGGACAGGTAGGGCTACACAGCCCCTGTCTTGAAAAACAAAACAAAGCAAAACAAACAAAAAAACAACCAAGAAGAAACAAAAGGAAAGAAACGTGAAAAACCTCATCTAAAATACCATGCTCACACAGGGCCTTAGAAACCTGGCAACCCTCGCTCCTATTTCCTGAGGAGGAGTTAAATGTGTTCTGAAGAATAAAGGCAATAGTGATTTATGGCAAGCTTTAGGGGGAAATAACTATCTTATCTTAACTTAATTTTGTAAGCAAAGTGGGACTGGAACGTCTCGCTGAGAGAGACGTGGTCTGAGAGGAGGGCTTGCCCACTGTTGCGTGTGCCCACGGGTTACCTTCTCCACTTCACGGCAATGTCAAACATGTCCCTCCACTGCAGCAGCCTGGTCTTGCCATTCATGCGAACCTTTGAGTTGGTCCAGGTACGATGTACGGCCTGCATGACTTCCAGCGCTGCCAGGCCCATGGCTGAGGGAAGACATACCAAGACAGAGCTCGTCAGAACCCTTACCTAGGGACCAGTTCTCACCTTCCCTCTCAAGCCTGGGTGACCACGTAAGGAACAGGAGGCAGCTGATGGGACTGAGCTTCAGATGACATGATTCACATCAAAGGGAGCCACTGCCACCCAACACTGCCTCCAGCTGAAGCAGGCAGAGCCCTGAGTCCCTCCTTCCTCCTGTAAGAAGGAAGGCTGCCCTGGCCCGACTGGCAGTGAGGGATTGAGAGCCATGTTCCATATCTGCACGACGGCCAGAGCCCAGCTGGAAGAACTCACTGAACTAACTATCCTACACATCCCTGTTCCGGTCCTCTGGGAAGCCGAGTACAGTAGACAACAATTTCTAAAGAGAGACCCTGTTCGTGGGTTATGATTCCATTTCGAGTTTCTAGAATACCTCTGTGTATCCTCTTGTTGGGCAGGAATCCAGGTGTTTCATACTGCATCAGCGAGCCCAGGCGGTCAGCTACACAGATCAGCTCCTGGACTTCAGGCTTGTAGCCCTCGAAATTCTGATGTAGCACATCCCTGCAGGAAGCACCAGGACTAAGATAAGGATGTGTGCAGCACACCTGGATGGCAGCACACCTGCAGGCAGCACACCTGCATGGCAGCACACCTGCATGGCAGCACACCTGCAGGGCAGCACACCTGCAGAGTAGCACACCTGCAAGGCAGCACACCTGCATGGCAGCACACCTGCCCCACTGCCTTACTGCAGCTCAACCAAGACACACACAGGACTAGGCACAGTCAGCTTCAAATCCCACCACACAATAAAAAGAAGCAATCTGTCTTTGTGAGTCATGTGTACCGTCTGCTACCACATGCAAGCCGCACACCGTTACATAGCATATGTAGGGGTCCAAGGCCCTCAGTAGCATTCGTTCTGTAAACTTTTCCAGACACACAGTGTGCAGTGCCTGACTATGTCTCTTAAGTGATACTCAATCTGCTGGCATTTACTGCAGTTATCAGAGATCTGAACTGACTTCAGCCTGTTTTTTTTTTTTCTCCTTCCCCTCCCTCTTGTGCTAGATATTTTATGTCAACTTGACACAAGCTAAAGCCATCTGAGAGGAGGGAACCTCAATTATGGAGGAACTCTCCATAAGCTCACACTGTAAGCACGCCTATAGGATATTTCCTTATTTGGAGACTAACGGAAGGAAGAGGGTCCTGCCCACTGTGGGTGGTGCCATCCCTGGGCTGGTGGTCCTCCGTTCTATAAGAAAGCAGGCTGAGCAAGCTAGGGGAAGCAAGCCAGTAAGCAGTACCCCTCCATGGCCTCTGTGTCAGCTCCTGCCTCCAGGTTCCTCCCCTGACTTCCTTTGGCGATAAACAGTGATGTGAAAGTGTAAGCCAGGTAAACCCTTCCCTCCACAAGTTGTTTCTGGTCACGGTGTTTCATTACAGCAATACTAAACCAAACTAAGGTGTGACCCCTACACGGTCCCCTTCCTCCCACTGCAGGCGCTGGCGGGCACACTCTCTGGGTACTTCTCTCCCATGAGCGCTCACCTTCTCTCTCACTTCTCAGTTTGAAGGAGCTGCTGGGCTTCTGGGAGTTAATCCCTGCCCTGGATCTGTTTTGTACCTGACCGCCCTTAAGCACAGATGCTTTTGCTCATCACAGCAATGGCTGCCTAACGGTGTGGTTTTAACCTATGTTCCTCGGCTGGCTCTGAACTCCTGGTCATCCTGCCCCCACCTCCCTAGTGCTGGGCTTGTAATTGCATACTACCATGCCTGGCTAAACTTTAAAATCGCTAATCAACTTGTTTTACAAGCGGCAAACAAAAATATAATGCTCATGAGGAGTTGCCCGCTGCCTCCGTGTATCTGAAGCATAAAGGCTGCCCAGCGTGCGCGTGCACAGAAGGTCGGGCTAGCAGATGTGACACAGGATGCTGTATAAATTATGAGAAATAGCTGGTGACTTACAAACTGCAATAGGAACATGGGCAAGAAGTCACTTACTGATCAAGAAATACAAGCATTCAGAAGGCTGAGGCAGTGGGATTATGAGATTAAGTCACCTTGGAATCAATGCATACTGAGGCTCAATCCCCGCCCCCCCAATGGAAAAACAAACAGAGCCTCCTGTTGGGTTGTGGATGGCCACGCCACACATACGGCACAGCACTTACCTGATGTGAGGCTGCAGGCCAGGCTGCTCTTCATAGCCGTCTATGAGAAAAGGCAGGTTCTTGGCCCAGTGGTCCTTGAAGCTGCCCGGTAGATCCGAGTCAATGTTATATTCCGTCAGAGGGGTATCGAGGTGTGCGTGCAGATATCGAGAATACTCTGTAGACAGGAAAGGAGCTGCCAAACCCAGACACTGCCAAAGAAGCCCTTGCTGGAGTGGGTCACCACGTGGACGCTTTGAACCACACTGCCCTTACCTTTAGGAATTCTCAAAGACTGCTCCAGGACTACAGAAGCCTGCTAGTGACAAGAGTCACGTACAGCAGCCAGCTTGGGTCTGCTCTGATTACATGCTAACCTCTCCATGAATAAAGCCAAAGAGCTTGCCTTTCTGTTTCAGAGCCTGAAACCCAAGGGAGGCGACAGAGAGAGCCTGGGATTGGTCAGCTCTGACAGAGCAAACAGGTGTGCAAGCTCACCACAGCCTGACTGACAGGTGTGCTTGCCCCCTCAGGGTGACATACCCAGTGCCAGCTCTGCTGACCCAGAGCAGAGTATGGGACAAGCTGTCTGGAAGATGGCCCCCTGGACTGCTGATACTTGACTCAGTTATTAGCAACTTCAGAATGTTTGGAATAACACATGCATATCCGTCTATTTCCAACTATAAAGTGGATGAAATCCAATCTCTGATCAAGACTGATAATAAAAGATGCGCACCCAACCTGAGACGTCCTGTGACTGCACAATATAACCCAGGGGTTTGACCTGGAGCAAAACGTCACGTAGTCACTTTAAAAAAGGTTTTCACTACTTTAAAGTGTGTGTGTGTGTGTGTGTGTCTGTAAATGTGTATATATATGTACGTGTATAAATGTGTGTGCGTGTGAGTGTGTATGTGTGTGTATCTGAGTGTGGATATATGCATAAGAGTGTAGGTGTCTTTGGAAAACAGGGATGTTGGATTCTCCTGAAGCTGGTTACAGGTGGCTCTGAACTGCCACATGTGGTTGCTGGAAGCCACACTCAGGTCCTCTGGAAGAGCAGGTTTTTCCCTCAATCTAAACCATAACATTTCTCAGAACAGTCATGGTGGCTCATGCATGCAGTCCTGGCACTCAGAAGGCTGAGATAGGATCCTTCATAGCGTGAGTTCTAGGCCATCAGGGTCTACAAAATGTGATGCTATCCAGAAAGACGAGAAGACAAAACAAACAAAAACCCTAATGAACAGTTTCCTATTAATTATATGCTGAATTAAAAATTTTAAATTGTCATTAAGTAAAAAATATTTTCTTTTATAAAATTACATAAAATGTACCATTAGAATTAACTCCACCTGCTTGTTTTTTACATTTCTTTTAAATGTTTTCTCCATTTTTCTAATTTGGGAAATTGCGTGTGTGTGTGTGTGCGTGTGTGAGTGCATGTGTGTAAATCTGAGGACAGACTGTAGGACATGTCTTTCTTTCTACCACGTGAGTCCTGGGGACGGAGCTCAGCTGCACAGACTTGGTGGCAAGTGTCTGTACTCACTCAACCATCCTGCATGCCGCATGCTTTTATCTCTCTCTTAACATGGCTATTCCTAACTTAAAACTGTACGCACGGCTTGCTTTATTTTTTGTTTTACAATAATATTCTCAAGGGTTATGAGAACAAAGGCAAAATATGTGGGTATGCAGACAATAAACACCTTCCCAAATCAGTGGCGAGAATATGTGTGTATACTGGAGGACACACGTGTGTGTGCTGGAAAATACACGTATGCACTGGCTGGTCTTTGTCTGCATGACACAAACGTACACATCAGCCTTAGGCAAGTCTGTACAGTAGCGTCTTGATTAGGGATTGATGTGGAAGAGCCCCACCCACTGTGGCTGGTACCCTTCCTGGGAAGGAGGTCCTGAGGTGTGTCAGAAAGCAGGCTGCGCAAGCCATGAGGAACAAGCCGGTAAACACCGCTCTCCAGGGCTTCTGCTCCGGTTCCTGCCTCCAGGTCCCTGCCCTGACTGCCCTCAGTGATGGACTAAGATGTCAAACTGTGAACAGAATAAACCCTTTCCCCAGCAAGCTGCTTTCGGTCATGGTGCTTTAACACAGCAATAGAAACCCTAAGACAATGTGTATGCAAGCTGGAAGAGGTGTGTGTGTGTGTGCACTGATGTGTCTGTGTGTGTGTGTGTGCGTGTACACTGTGATGTGTAGGTGTGCAAGCGTAGGGAGATGTGTATACACACATAGGAAGATGTTTATGTGAGTATACAGGAAAGTGTGTGGGGGAGGGAGATGTGTGTAAAGGCAGGGTGTTTATGTGTCCATAGGAGATGTGTGTATACATATGAAGGTTTGTGGGTATACATGAAAATGTGTGCGTGTAAATAGGAATTATGTGTCTGTGTATACACAGGAAGGTGTGTGTGTGTGTGTTGTGTAAATAGGAATTGTTTGTGTATGCATGCATAGAAAATGTGTGTACATGTATAGGAAGATATGGTGTGTGTATAGGGAGATGCGTGTGAACGTAGGAAAGTGTGTGTGTACATGTGGGTGTGTACATAGCATGTGTGTATCTATAAAGAGAGTTTGTGTACATGTGTGTACATAGAAAAGTGTGTGTGTATAAGAAAATGTATGTGTATACATAAGATGTGTGTGCATAGGAAAATGTGTGTACACATAGAAAGATGTGTGTGTACAGGTAAGATGTATGTGCATACATATGACGAAGAGTGTGTCATAAGGTTTTTATGTATACGTAAGATGCATGAGTATGTGTGAATATGAAAAAGAGTGTGTACATAAGATGTGTGTGTGCAAAGGAAAATGTGTGTACACATAGAAAGATGTGTGTGTACAGATGGAGAAGAGTGTGTGCGTACATAAGATGATGTGTATATACAGGAAGATGTGTGTGCACACAGAAGGTGTGCATGTGTACATACGAAGCAGTGTGTGTCTGAGTGTGTATATAAGAAGATGTGTGCAGGATGCTTTGGAAGCTACATGTGTGTACATTTGAAGATGTATATGGAGAAAAAGCAAGTCTGTGACAATCCGAGAACTGCTTCCTTTCTTACCAGAGTGGGGCTTTCTGATACAGGAGGACGTGACATACTGGAATGAGGGGCCAGAGATGCAAGGTCTCTAACTCTAAACAATGAAACCTCCATGCAAGGCCCTTTCCTGTCCTCCAGTGAACTGAGATGGCTTAAGACATGCTTTCTACAATGAATCGCACATCCAACTAGAAATTCAAACTCAGGCCAAGCTTCTGAATTTTACAAGACTTGTAGATAAGGTAGAAAAAACATCAGGCCTGTCTTGGAAGACACTGAGGTCCCTGGTCCGGAAACCTCCAGCAGCAAAAGTCGCTAGGGACAAGATGCCCACCTCCAGTCCACCGTCTCGGCAGGATACCCACAGCTCTGAGCACGGAAGTGCCACTCCCACCATTTTCTGCTTACCTCGGAGATACTTCACCCTCAGGTACTCGGGGCTAGCCTTCTGGCCAGGAAGAGGATCATTCAGCATAACTTTCGTTTGTGCTTTGATTCCTTCATAAAACTGCCCCATCGCCACGTGGCTGAGCCCCTTCATGTACTGGCACACTTCGTTGTACGGCTCCAGCTGCAGGCAGCGCTAGGGTTTAGGACAAAAGGCTGAGTTAGCATCACATGGGTCAGGACTGCTGTTCCTTCTACCCAGAAGTCTTCCTTCCAGGTTCGTTAGGTAGTTAGTTCCACTGAACTCTCTGAGGAACAAGCAAGAATCCAGCGACGGCTCTGCCTGATGCTGAGGCTCACCTTGAAGTTCTTCAGGGCCTCCTGCAGGCTGCCATGGTGGTAGAGCATCATCCCCCGGAGCTGCAGGGTCTGCACGTGGTTCTGGTTGAGCAGCAGGGCCTTCTGGAAGCTCTCAGTGGCTGCTTCAAAATTGCCCAGTTCTCTGAGGATTGAACAACCGTGGTGAGCACTGCACAAGCCAGTCAGCAACAGCAGCACTGGAGCGTGGTACTGGGAGCTCGTGAGGCGTGAGGGAGGGCGTGTCTCCTACTACCTGAACAGCTCACACACAGCCACAGTCTTCACACCACTTAGTAATCTAACACACTACAGCATGCTCACATACTTTGATTTCTCTAGGGAAAATGAACTTACTGATTTTCAAACTCCTCCCCTAGTTCATAACCAGCGCCAACCTCAAGAATGCCTCTGGGTGAACGCACTCTTCCCATTCTAGGGAAAGTACGTGTAATTTGAAATTTTGAAGGAAAAAAAAAATGAGTATACTTCAGACATTAAATTCTTCCAGATTGGGAATGGTTGCTACCAATCAATTTCCTTTTTACATATTAAGCTTTTTCCAAGGGATGGAAACAGCCCATATAACAAATTACTATAAGTGAGAAATATTTTTTAAAAACACAATGCTTACTTCCATCGACACAATCATATATGGTTGTTTCCAACCTACTGTCAATGCATAGTCCTAACAATTCTGGAGAGAGGGAGGATAAATAAATACCACCCCTTAAATCCCAGACAAGCCCGGGCATATCTCCTTTCAGCTAGTGTGAGAGGAGCCTTTGCAAACCGTCCCATCACAGGAGCAAGCTCTCCACATGAGGGTGGAGTGCGCTAGGTCACTAACAGCCTCTCCCCTGTAGCCGCAATGGCTCCTTCACAGGCTGGAAGCCCAGAGAGCCTGCCCTGGCATCCTGCAGAGTTCAGGTCTCAGAGGCTCCTAGCTCATGTGTTTCCACGGATAACCATGTCACCCGCCTTCCTGGTCAGAATGAGGCTGCTTTTTAGAGTTAAATGCTCAAATGGTGGGGCAAGAACTAGGAGGTGAGGGTCTAGCCAGAGCTTCTGGAACCAGGCTGACTTTCCTACAATGGAAACGCACCACTACACAGCCAAGCAAGTGGTGAGGGTGTCAGTCACCCTGCACCCCCCCTCCCCGAGGGCCAGGCACAATACCAATCTGTAGGGACTGACACCCTCTGAGAACTGTGTACACCAACAGGGCTCCTATGCGGTGACACAGCCCAGGGTCCTGATGCGGGGCCCTCACATCCCAAAGCAAATGCCGGCAGGTGTGGCAATGCCTTCAAAAGCTAAAGTGGACACTTTTCTGAGGGACGTTCCCCTGTCCCAGCCCACTGTCACTCACCTGTAGGCCTGTCCCCAACTGCCACTCACCTGTAGGCCTGTCCCAGACTTTTATATGCGTCAATAAAGTCAACTTTCTGCTTCAGAGCTTCTTTGAAGGCCTCGATGGCTTCCTGTGGAAAGTGTGCAGGAAATGAGCCCGTTCACACAACTTCACCTGCACTGCTAACGGGTTACACAAATGCTACACCTGTCTGCAAGAATTATCTTAGATAGGACGGAGAAGGAGGCAGGCAGTGAACCGTGGGGAGACTCTGACTCTAACAGTAAACAAACGTGTCTGAAAGACAGCTCAGCTTCCCCTTTCGAATGTGACAGAGCTGTTGTCTCGCCTAACTCAGCCAGAACCTGCAGGGCTAATGATTTCACCTTCGTAAGAACACCATTTCTTCAATCCATAACAGTCTAATGAACCAAGGAAACTCAACAGCTCTGTGAGATTATTCAAAATGATAGCTTACTGCACTAAAAGTGAGTCAACAAGATAGACTGATATACACTGTACATGGAAAAAGCAGAAACAGGCTCCTGGGTTGGTGGGGATTCCTTGGATCTAACAGTGCAAGAAAACAACCCACACGAGGCTGGAGCACTGGGCACAGCTGGCTCAGCGGAGCAGTGATACGTGGCTGAGGCCCTGTGCTGTGGGTACTGAGAGGAATCTAGGGCACAGTGTGCCCACCCAAATCCTCATGTGACAAGTACCTCTGGAGAGTACCACTCTGTTCACGGCTAGACACTGCACCTGCACACGTGGACCCATTGCATCTGCACACGTGGACTCATTGCATTTGCACACATGGACCCACTGTATCTGCACACATGGACCCAATGCACCTGACTGCACACATGGACCCACTGCACCTGACTGCACCTGCACACATGGACCCACTATATCTGTACACATGGACCCACTGCACCTGCATACATGGACCCA